GCAGACCTACGTGGGTACCGCGTCTGCCTCATCACTGCGACATCAGCGCAGCGTCGATCATGGACGCGCCTCTGGCTGTACAGCTGTCTTGAGCTCTGCGGCTTTTGCACAAGCACCCGTAAAACTGCTAGTGTTACTTTGAAGTATCTAGTCGAATGCTAAGCTGCAACAAGTCAGTGCAACTGCAAGCTGCGAACAGAGTGAGCCCGCACAGCTTTTCTTACAGTCAGTGATACCAGTTTCGTGCTACCAAGACCAAGAGTTATGTACAGTCATGTACAGTAAGATCGGGCGCCGAAGAACACCTCGCCGAAGAACACCCAGGCTGGAAAACCGGCAAAATTTAAAGGGGAAGTATACCCTAAAATCAAATTTTCACCAGTTGTAGTCTTCTGGGTGCTGAGTCGAATGGTCTTGGTCCGAGGAAGCTGCGACGCTCCCTTCCTACTTGAATCCCAATCGAACTCGCGCACTTCCACCGAAACTGGGTGACTGCGCCCTACTAGATGGGGATTTGTATGCAAAATGTCACTAAAAGCGCCATTTCGTTCTTATAAAAGCACGGATGACCGCGATTGGCCCATATGTTGTAGTCTTTTGGACGCTGAGTCGACTGGTTTTGGTCCGAAAAGGCTGCGATGCAGCGTTCCTCCTTTATTCCCAATCGAACATGGTTGAACAAGCGGTCACGTGCTCCTGGGTGCCCAAATCACCTGGTCACCGCGCCAGCAGGTGACAACTTTCACACCAAGGTTCAACTCGAGTTCAACTCGAGTGACAGGACTGCACCCAAAAAAGGTCAAACAGGCTAGTAAGTTGTACCCTGCAGGCACGGTGACCAGGTGACTGGTGTACGCAGGAGCACGTGACCGCTTGTTCAACCATGTTCGATTGGGAATAAAGGAGGAACGCTGCATCGCAGCCTTTTCGGACCAAAACCAGTCGACTCAGCGTCCAAAAGACTACAACATATGGGCCAATCGCGGTCATCCGTGCTTTTATAAGAACGAAATGGCGCTTTTAGTGACATTTTGCATACAAATCCCCATCTAGTAGGGCGCAGTCACCCAGTTTCGGTGGAAGTGCGCGAGTTCGATTGGGATTCAAGTAGGAAGGGAGCGTCGCAGCTTCCTCGGACCAAGACCATTCGACTCAGCACCCAGAAGACTACAACTGGTGAAAATTTGATTTTAGGGTATACTTCCCCTTTAAGAACAGTCCAGGCTAGAATTATCAGATTAAGAACACTAGATCTACATTGTACGTAGATCTACATTGTACATGCATGGGAGGTGTGTACATGTCATGTACACGTGTAAACAGTAACTGCTACATGTACAGTCGACAGTCATTCCCATTTACGACACCCACTAGTTTAGAAGTATTACATTGCACTACATGTACATGTACATGTACATGTACATGACAAACGTCATGACGTCACTCGACTAGCCGCGCGCGTGTGAATAAGAACGGTCTGGCTAGAATCAAAAATTTAAGAACTTTCCTAGGCTGCGCTCGAGCCCCTGCGTTCTTCGGCGCCCGATCTTACTGTACTCTTGGTGCATGCTACCAAGAGTATAAGTTATAGTTATACTCTTGTCTTGATGCTATGTGTAGCCTATATTACAGGCCAGGGTCAGTAGTCATGAGCTGCCAAACTCAGAGCCAACCTCAAAGACAGTTCTAAAAGGTCTATTACCTGTATTTAAAAGTTCGTGCAAAGACAGTCCGAAGTTAGGAACAAGGAGGTGGCTTCTGTGTGTGTTCTATAATAATAATAATCTTTATTTCAGGATTACCCAAAGCTTTAAAGGCTGACGCCTATGGGGGGGGGGGGGGGTCGGGATCTCCTATTTTGTGTTCTGACCGTCTTGAGTACTTAAAGGTGACATTAATTTTCACCTACGCTTTCGTCGTGTTACGGGTCCCTACTGGAGTACTGCCGTGTACTGGCACTCGGTGACAGCAGTGTCAGCACTCACTGCTGTCAGTCTCTGCAGTGTAGTGACTGCGTAGTCTGTCATAATAGTAGAGCTAGTAAGTAGTAAAGTAGTATGAATAATCATCATAGCGAACGGTCTGGCCAGACTGACAGTCTGTAGTCGTGTAGAGACTAGAGTCCGCAGCTCCGTGTTACCAGGTTACCACCAGCTTTTGTTGCAGAATCACAACCGAAACTTCGGAAAGAAAAGGCAATAGTAACAAGTACCGGGTAATACCGTACTTCCGCACATATAAGCGCACGGGCTTATGTCCAGATATAAGCCCACCCCCCAACTATAAGCGCATGGGCTTATATGTGAACACGATTAATAAAACACGCAGGACTTCATTGTGGTAGCACAATGGCATAGAACACAGGAAATGCTTTATTTCCACTGAATAAAACATTGCATAAAACATGTCGACTGGCGCATCATCATGAACACTGCCACAACTCAAAACCAATCAAAGTTGTCACCACCAGACTCCTCGCTGTCTTCAGCGGAATGGGCAC